GCTAATCTTCCGTCTTTTTAGATGTTTCGCTGAATCTCGTATCCGACAGAGTTTGATAACTCCTTGGGACTCTGATGTTCGAAACCGCCATATTCTAGCTTGCTGAAGGGTGGTAGGAAAGTCCCTCTCTCGTTCGGTCGCGGAAACTCGTTACCGGAGACGAGGTAAGGCCTTGCGTCGGTGTCGTGTTCAAGATAGTGGCCCGCCGTCTTGTCGAGAAGTCTTCCCATCAGAACGCGCATTCATTACAGGCAGCGACTGTGCTGTGCCGTCTCGTGAATTAGCTCAGAGGTGCCCTGAAGAGCACAGGCTCAAAATCCGGCCCGTCGTTGCTGCTGGGTCAGTCTTCGCACCGTGCCACATCGCACTTTGTCGATGAAGGCTCTCCGCTCCAGGAAGAATAGCATGCTTGGCGTCTAGCAATATTCCACCACAACGCCACCACCAGATGTGGCCGGCTAAATGTGTGATCCGCTATCGAGTGCGCTGCGCAGTCCCGGCTGACCGGGGCCCCGTCTTTGTCAGGGCAAGGCTTGGTATCATGTCTCTAAGCGCCATCAATCACGACATGAGTGTACAACGCGAGTAGAGGACCGGGGTGGGGCGTTCTGCGATGGAAAGAGGGGCCCCACTAGCCTATTCGCTTGCGCATGAACAATCTACTGTCGACTCCAACAGCTCGGCGCGTGGAACTCTCTACACACATATGCCTCCCAGGAAATTGAAAGTGTCGCATCAGTACGAGCACCGACCTCGCAATTGATTACTCCCATGGCTGCCGCCGGTGCATGCCGCCAAGGCTGCACGTGGCCTGCAACATAGCTCCAATGTGCACCTGGACACCGTCCCGCCTCGTCGCTTGCGCGTACGCACAGCGCGGCTTCCCCCCTAACCATTTGCACACCCTATCCGCATGCGTACATCGAAGCCGTATGAGCCTTATCGACGTCTGCCAATGCGAAAAACCATGAAACGACTTCGTCAGTACAATTGTTTTGTAAAGTCCAGTCACCGAGCTCCAGATCCGGCGCGCAGGCCCATTTATCCATCTTGGCTGGTCCTGGCATCGCATGGTAAGCTTGACCTACCGTGAGCGGACTCTTGGTTGGCTCGTCCAAGCCTTGAGTGCAGAACACCAAGAGGCATACCGGATGCTAAGCAAAATTATCCGCGGGACGAGTCGCCTGTTCAGATGGGGATCCAGAGCTATCGAGGCGTCTTACAATCAAGCCCGGGGGCGTCTCAAGCCTCAACGCTGGGCACAGCGGAATAGCAACAGAATCGGGGAACGCATGGCTTGATGGCGAAAATCACTCGGCAGATCGGCTTCGACACCTCATGATGAAGGGGTCTATCATCTGATGAGTTGAAGCAGACCGAGGCATAGAACCACCAGACCTCGCCAGCAGGCGCTTCTGCACATGTCGCGTCTCCAAAACGCAACATGCTGTTGTCCTATCTGGCTATCACGAAGTTAATATCAAGGCGCTTTCGAGGGCCAATGAATGACAGCAACCCGTGTCTGGGTCTATTGTCAAATGTGGTCACACGTTCTAGCGCCACCAGGTTATAGACTTCTGGAAGGCAGCCGAACACCCCATGGGGAGACAGCAATTTGCATCGGACGTTGGACATCTCCGTTGGCGGCCAATGCCTAGATATGACAAGACGGGACTTCTCTGTTCTTGTAAGTCTAGTCCCACGGCGCTACGGGCCTGGTGCCAACAGATCGCTCGGTGGGGATTTCTTGGTATCATCTTACTGGCCCTTCCCACCGTTGCTGTCAGGCAGTCTTCCTGCAAAGTGCGGTACCCATGTCCGTCAACCCGCGGTGGAACAAGCATGGGAGTATCTCCCATCCGGGGTGTGGGGTCGCTTGCAGTGGAGGTGGATCGAATATAAGTACTCGACGCCGGACGAGGGTCTTTCTCAACCCAAGGGACTTCGCCCATCAGTAGCACAGTCTACTTGTCCTGAACTTCGGTCAATCTTTCACTTAACAGTTCCATCGTTCTTTATTCAAGATGGTCGGTATGCACGTCGGAGCCGCCAAGGGCAACAGTGCCGTCCGCGAGGATGTGCCTGAGTTCGAGAAGGTCATTTGGTACAAGGACCCAAACATGCGAAAGCTGTTCTGGCACTCTTCGGTCCTTTGCATTGCCTCCGCCACTACTGGTTATGACGGGTGAGTGGAGTTTCCAGTAAAGCAGCGGGATTTGCTGACCATCTTCAGCATGATGATGAACTCTTCGCAGCAGATGAGCAGATGGCAGGACTACTTTGATGAGCCTACCGGTAACCGCCTGGGTCTCATGAACAATATGTACAACATCGGTTCGATCGTCAGCTTTTTCCTCGTTCCCTTCCTGACCCAGTGGACCGGACGTAAGATTCCAATCGCCGTCGGCTGCTCCATCATGATTGCTGGTGCCCTTGTCTCAACCTTCTCTACGAACTGGCAGATCTACATGGGTGGCCGTTTCATTCTTGGTTTCGGTAACTCCTTCGCCCAGATGTGTTCGCCTATTCTTCTTACCGAGATCTGCCATCCTCAGCACCGTGGTATCTTCACTGCCGTATACAACTGTCTCTGGAACTTGGGTGCTCTTTTCGTCGCATGGATCGCATGGGGTACATCTCAGGCGGACAACCACTGGTCTTGGAGGTCTATCACTCTTCTTCAGGCTCTGCCTTCATTCCTCCAACTCTGCTTCCTTTGGTGGGTTCCTGAGAGTAAGTCAAACTTTACACTGCATAACGAATGTACGCTGACATTGCTTCCCAGGCCCACGTTGGTTGATCTCCAAGGAGCGCTACGAAGAGGCCCTGGATACTCTCGCCTACTACCATGCCGGAGGTGACCGTAACAACGCCACGGTTCAGTTCGAATACGTCGAGATGAGGGAGGTCATTCGTCTGGAGGCCGATGCCAACAAGAACTCCAGCTACGTCGACTTTGTCAAGACCAAGGGTAACCGATGGAGGTTGGCTATTCTCATCTCTCTCGGTATCATCTCCCAGTACTCCGGCAACGCGCTCTTCTCCAACTACATCAACTTGGTCTACGAGGGTGCTGGTATCACCAGCGAGAACCAGAAGATGGGTGTAAGTATCGCTGAAACGTTGCGGGGAAACACTCACTAACATTGCATCAGCTCACCGGTGGTGAACGTATCTTGGCTCTCTGTGTGTCCGTCTACGCCGCTACCTTGATCGACAAGGTTGGTCGTCGTCCCCTCTTCCTCGGCGCAACCACTGGTATGGTCGTCTCATTCGTCTGCTGGACCATCACGTGCGCCATCTACGAGAACTCCGGCGACACCAACTCCGCAGCCGGTTACGCTCAGATTCCATTCGTCTGGATCTTTGGTGTCTTCTACGCTTTCGCCTGGTCTGGTCTGCTTGTTGCCTATGCTCTTGAGATTCTGCCTTATGCTCTCCGTGCTAAGGGTCTCATGATCATGAACATCACTGTTCAGGCTATCCTCGCCGTTGGTGGTCAGACGAACCCCGTCGCATGGGACAACCTTCCCAAGCACTGGAACTTGGCTCTCTTCTACACTCTCTGGATCACCGTCGAGCTTGTCTTTGTCTACTTCGTCTACCCCGAGACCAAGGTATGTACATGTCTAGTCTACTTGGAGAACATTGCTAATTCGTACAATAGGGTCCTACACTTGAGGAGATTGCCCGTATCTTTGACGGTCCTGCCGCAGTGGCTCCCGTGGACATGGATGCGATCGCCAGACAAGCTGCTAAGGAGCGCCTCAACAACTTCGGCGATGAGAAGGAGCCTCACGTCGAGCAGAGCCACGTCGTCTAGGGTGCTTGACTTCACTCATTGGTAGTCATGTCGCAGGAATACGGGAGGTTGGGCTTCATAGTTTTGGCATTCGCTACCCCTAGAGCAGTCTTTACTTCAATATACCCACTGCTTTGGTACGCACTGTCTGCTGCTCTCTTGCTGTCATGCTTCGTGATGACTACGCTTCAGAACAATCGCGCAGGACCTTCGGCGCTGATCTCCCACGACAGGACACATGCTAGTGCAGCGGCCAAGACGCCAAGCCGTGCTAATTCGGTGCTCACCCCGCAATCATTTGAGCGATTTCCGCACTCCGTCTCATCTTCTCAACCCGTCTTGGCATCCAACATTGAAGAGCCCTTCCCCGTCTGGCGCGTCAGCAAATTATCACTCAGCTTTATCAACCACCCTGATCCTTTTTTTATCCAAATAGCAACCTGGATCACACCATACTCATCTCCGTCGGTCGGTCGGTCATGTTACCTAGATACCAGCTTACTGCTCCCCAGTTGTTCCATCACTACAGTTACTCGGCACCATCTCCGGATGCGACTTGTATGAGACGGCAGTTGTGAGTCTACGGATCGGAGAGCTAGGGCGCTGACGCTGTATGCATCTTCGTCGCGCCGTATCGCCCTGCCTCACAAGCGCTGCAAGTCTGCAGAGACTGTAGAGCTATTTGCCCACCGTGCGGCACGCACAAGCTGGTCGATTTCTCTCGCGCTTGACACAAGCATCAGCCTCGTTGAACTGATCGTTCACGTTAATTTACTATCGACATCACGACCACCATACGCGTCTAGCTGCCCCAGACTCCGAGTTTCAGCGTTAAAGGGCGTAGACGCAAGGCGGTGGCACGACGATCTTGAAAGCATCCCAATTGCTGCATGTCTTCAAACAGTTTATAGCATACGTTCTCATACTATGTGTATTGTATCCGGTTCCAATGCGTTGACAATCTTAAGTACTTTGGGCTTAGCGCAAGTCTTGCGAACAAGCTTGAAGTGAAGAATATCTAATGACCAAGATCCAGAGCGAGACCCGTACAAGATATGAGACATGTCCACCTTCGTATGATAACATGGTATCCGCCAGATGTGACTACTCGTCAAACATGCTATCTAAGATCATGTCGCTGTAACCCGCGTTCAACCCAAATTCTCCATCATTCCGCTTCGACATTGTCCACAGAACCTCACATCAATCCTGATCCATCGTACCGCTCCACATCCGGTCCAACGTCATACTGGGGCTGATCCTCAGCCTTCAGCGACTTGGGATTGATGTACCGACATGTAAGCGCAAACCGCAGCTTACCCGAGTGCTCAACAGCGTGCTCATAATACTTCTGTACGTCGGCGCCGTGCATGATAACAATATCGCCGTGCCCAAGCTGCATCGTTAGCGCATCCCTCGCATTGCCTCGGTTGTTGAGCTTCAACTGCTTGGGTATCTGCTTCCTCCTAGCATTGTACGCCTTGGAGTCGGATGTCTTGAGCGCATCGAGAGAAGGTTGAACTGCGAGACGAGCTTCGTAATGTTCGCATCCGGGTATTGGAGCAGCGTCATCGTAAAGACCAGCGACAGAAGACACGCCATGGTAGTGACGGGCTTTCATGCGGAGCCGCATTGTACCTGGTGCGCCCAAACTTAACGTTGCGATAGTTGGACCAAGGCCAAATTCGCCGTCATCGTGGTAGTTGATCTTCTGTTCCTCAAAGTATCCTAGTGCAAGAACTTCATTGAACTCCTTCTCTTGCCATTCTTGATTGACTTCCCCAATGCTTCTACCCGTCTCCTGCGTCAAGAGCAACTTGGCCGCCCAGTTCAAGCGACTGCGCGTGCTGGTTATGGGACGAGCGGCTCCATCGAAAGAGCGAGATGCTGTCGCTGCAATGAACTTGTACGGCATACCATAGTTGACTGCAAAGTGGCGGCAGTAGTTTGGTCCTTTGAGCTGACCGTTCGGCATGGAGCGTCGCTGCAGTCCAATGTTCGTCTGTTGAAGCTCTTCAAACATGGCATCTGGTCCACCTTCTTCCTCAAGCACCGTCTTGTTGGCGATCATGTGTGTGATGAAGCCATTGACGCCAGGTATTTCGTAACGATTAATGCGATACCCATGTTCAAAGGATACTTTCAGTCCAAACAGAGGTGCCATTGTATCTCTGGACAGTGTGTAGCTGCTCGTGACCGGCCATAATGGGTCGCGAAGAGATAACGCGGAGATGAGCGTATGCGGAGGCGTCCTCGTATATTGGCATGCTGCATTGGAACATTCCCAATTTGTCCAGTTCAAACGGGATGTACAGCGTCCACAACTGGGGCACACCATACCAGACCAGAATGCGACTGAGGTATTCTCTCCTGGAATCGAGTGACCGGAAAGCTCAGCAGCGTTGGAGACTAGAGGGTAATTGTGGTCGTCATTGTGCCAAGGAGTCTTCTGCTTGAGGAAGCGTGGGTCGTAGACCAAAGATGCTTCCTTGGGCTCTTGAGCTGACACACTCCTTCCGGGTCCTGGTGTGGGCATGAGAATCTTCCAAAAGGCGGCGCAAGTGGGTTGTAGACACATCCACCCGTTCAGGTATATCTGTTGAGACTTCACGTTGCAGCTTCCGCATATCTTCTCAACTGGAGGTTGCAGCGAGCCAAGCTCTGCAACTTCCTGTGAATCCTTCTCCTTCCACCAGGACTCTTTCTTTGTGTTCAGCTTCTCAAAGCGGTATCGCACAATCTTGCTGTTACCACTCTTCTCAGCCCAGATATGGGTGGGCTTGAAATGATCCAAAACACAGTACTGATGCGGTGGCTTTGATGGGATGTTGGGGTTGTCGACTCCTGTGATGATGACGACTGGGTTGTAGTGAAGCATGCAGTTCCTCAAGCCTAGCGCAGCTGAGTCTTCAGATTGGTCCTTCTTTGACTTCATCTCACCGGAGTCAATGTCCTTCGCGAGACCACCACCTGCTCGTGAGATGACAACGTTAGTATCCATATAGTCGCGAGCATGCGCAACCTTGTCAAACATGAAGCCCCTCGCAAAACCGCCAGTTGAGTAGCAGGCGCTTTGGTATGCGCGATAGTAATGTAGCGTCTCGCAGATCTCTTGCCGTCCATCTGCCCAAACTTCTGGTTGTCCGTGCGGCTCTGGCTTGTTCAGACCTCTGTTCTGCTGGGCAATGAGTCGCTCGGTAATATCAGAGAGGTGTTTGTTGTCGGGTACGTCGAATAGTTCGCCGACGGGAGAGCCCACAAATCCATCGCAATCTGTTGTTGCTTCCGATTCCGCATACAGACTGGGTACCGGCGCAACATGGTCAGCACAGGGCGCCTTTGTCTGGTCGGCGGGATCGCCAGCTCGAAGCCAAGCCTCGACCTGCCCGCTGCGATCTCGATTGTCGGGGACAGAAAGAGCCACGGAACAGTCATGCTCTTCGTGCCCAGCTGCGCCACACCTTCCGCAGGTCGAACCCAAAGGCAGTATGGGCTGGGCTAGATATGAGTCTTGTTCAGGCACCTGGCCGTTGTCAAGCTCAACGTTTGACTTGTCATGTACGACACTCGGATCATAGTGGATAGCTGATTCGGGCGTAAGGTATGCGAAGCGACTATCGGCCTCCTTCGAAAGCATTGATGGCGGTGTTTGCGCGTGATTGACGAAGTCTGGGACGTTGCGCATACTGTCCTCCGGCGTATTCGGTTCCCATGACGATATGGGGGTCTGGCTTGGGAGGGTTTCTTGAGAGGCAGCTGGAGTTGCGAAATCCTGGCTCGATGCCGGTACGGGTTCCAGTATACGCTGAGCACACTGACCTTGTCCGTCCAGCGGAAAAGAGCCCTGTGTGTTCCTGTAGGCAGAGATCTGCTTGCTAATTAGCTTGATGACCGAAAAGTCCAAGGGTTTACAAACTGGAGTTGATGGCAGAGACCCTGGAGGGGATGAAAGCTCACTACTGGAGCTAGCATCTTCGTGTTGTTGGCCTGGCCGGCGTATGGACGTGGTGACTGGGACTTTGAGACGGACTATCTTGGACTCTCTCTCCGGTGGTTGCGACAAGGTGTCGATTGCATTCGCAACTGTCTCCAAAGATACCGAAGCTTCAGTCTGAATCTGATGAGAAGCACCCCTTGTTGTAGTTGAAGCTTTCTGGGCGGATGAGTTGGCCTTGGTCAAGGTCGCTTTCCTTCTCTTAGAGACAGGCGGCTGAGGCGGTGCGTTGATGTATCTTTCCGGAGGTTTCCTCACTCGTGTCGGGCGTTGAGAAGATGCGCTTCCATAGTTACCGAGATCTTTCTGGAGTTCAGCGGTCCCTGATTCGGGTGTGGTTTTGAGTTGCTTCGCGCCGGGTGCACCTTCCCAGTCGGAATCGCCGTCGTCAGACTTGCGCTTCGAGGATGCCATGAGAGATGAGTGATTCGAGCCGTGGTTTGCTGTTAGATGCGTGTTGGATATCTAGTAACGATAGCTGAAGCGACAAGAAAGACAAATTGAAGTCTAGAAACAACAGAGTGAGGTCAGGAGTGGCGGGTGGTGGGATCGCGTCCTGCGGACAATAGAAATTCAATTCAGGTTCGTGCGACAATAGGAAGACAGCTGCACAGAGAGTCACGAAAATCTCTGCTGAGACGCTCTCACTTGAGCGGCGCAGTGAGAGTGGGCAAACGTTGGAGATGGTGACAGTGAAGACGGCTGCCAGCGCGGAGGCAGGGTCGAGCATGGCTCTTGCTGTACCACATCGCGATAAGAGCGACTTCCAAGATAGCAGCCAGACCTGGAGAGATTCGTCATGCTTGCGACTTCTGATTAGACTCGGTTCCGAATTGCATCAACTTCTCTCTCGGTGTCTGGGTCGAGGAGGTGAGTCGCGTTTTGGTGGTTCCGAGCTACGGCCGGCGTTAAGGAGAGGTTTGGCCGCTTCGAGGCGTGACCTCGGTACCCCAGCTTTCCCCACAGTTGGGGGCTGGCAGCAGCTGTCGGCTCCGACAAGACACGGCATCCGATGATGCTAACGTCATTCAGGAAGATGGGCGCATGCGTTAAAGCTGCAGTTTTGATTCCTCCTTTGTCTTCTCCCTGCGTCGCCAATTGAGGCTTACTATAGGTGAGTTCCTGCATCCGTCCCAAGACTTCGCGCACAACTGACGTACGCGTAGATATCGCTCAACATGCCTTTCAATCCTCCGTCATGGGTGCCGCAGCTCCCCTTCGATCCGCCAGACTCGATTCCCATCTGCGACTTCATGCTCGATGAGCACTATGGCCGTCACCCGCTCGGCTACTCGAACGACCCCTTCACCTGCGGGTTGACCGGGAAGACATACTCGTGTTTGGATATGCGAGACCGCGTCGAGGCTCTCGCCCGAGGCTTATCAAAGGAGCTTGGCTTCAAGCCTAACGAGGCGACTGAGTGGGACAAGGTTATCGCTGTCTTCTCTGTCAACACGGTAAGCATCTCCAGGCTGATGGATCTACGAGGATACTGACGCTGGCTAGATTGACACGCTTCCATTGGCATGGGCTACCCATCGTCTGGGTGGTATCCAATCGCCCGCCAATGCTGCCTACAGTACCGCTGAACTCGAATACCAATTGAAGAACTCCGGCGCGAAAGCCCTCTTCACCTGCGTTCCCCTCCTAGACACTGCGCGACAGGCGGCGAAAAACAGCGGCATCCCCGAGAATCGCATATACATACTGGAGGTGCCCGAAGCGTTTGCTGGCAAGAAAACACCAAAGGGGCTCAAGACGGTCGACGATCTCATCCGTGAGGGCGAGAAGCTTGACCGTCTGCCCAAGTTGGACTGGGAGAAAGGCGACGGAGCTCTGCGGACCGCGTTCCTTTGCTACTCTAGCGGTACTTCAGGACTACCGGTAAGGAGCGAATGTGTTGTGCGTATGCGCGACTATATGCTAACGTGTTACACAGAAAGGTGTCATGATCTCGCACAGGAATGTCATCGCAAACACTAGTAAGTTGTCCTCATATCGCATCAAACACTAGCTGACCGCAAGCAGTGCAAATCACTACCTACGAGAAGCCGTACAGAGACACGATCATTAACGACGTACGAAATCAGTCTGACTACACCGAGATCGCCCTGGGCCTCTTGCCCATGTCGCATATCTATGGCCTGGTTGTCATCTGCCACGCGAACGTCTACCGTGGAGATGGTGTCGTGGTTCTCCCCAAGTTTGAGTTTGCGTCAACTCTGCAGGCCATCCAAGACTACAAGATCAACTCGTTGTTCTTGGTCCCACCGATCATTATCCTCATGACCAAGAACAAGCCCCTGCTCGATAAGTACGACCTCAGCTCCGTCTGGTCGATCTTCACCGGAGCTGCACCATTAGGACAAGAGACAGCAGAAGATCTATCCAAGATCTTCCCTTCATGGAAGATCCGACAAGGATATGGTCTTACGGAGACATGCACTGTCGTTTCCTCGTCTTCTCCCGATGATATCTGGTTCGGCTCCTCCGGTTCCCTGCTGCCTAGCATCGAGTGCAAGATCGTTACTATTGAGGGCACCGAGATTACTGGCTACGACCAGCCTGGCGAGTTGCTAGTCAAGTCTCCTTCAGTCGTGTTGGGCTATCTGAACAACGACAAGGCCAACAAGGAAACGTTCCAAGATGGGTACATGCGCACCGGAGATGAGGCTGTATTCAAGAAGGGCGCGAATGGTCACGAACACGTCTTCATCGTTGATCGTATCAAGGAACTCATCAAGGTTCAGGTACGGTCTCTACTCCCTGTGAAAGATATTCTAAACTAACAACATCCTAGGGCCACCAAGTCGCGCCTGCAGAACTCGAAGCACACCTCCTGACGCATCCTGCCGTAAACGACTGCGCCGTCATCCAAATCCCCAACGAGAAGACCGGAGAGGTACCGAAAGCCTTCGTCGTCAAATCACCATCAGTCGGTCTGGAAGAGAACGACCGCGTCCTCGCTCGCGAGATTCAGAAGCACGTTGAAGAACACAAGGCGCGATACAAGTGGATCAGTGGTGGTATCGAATTCATCGACGAGATCCCGAAGTCACCGTCTGGAAAGATTCTGCGACGGCTGTTGAGGGACAAGGAGAAGGAGAAGAGGAGGTTAGCGGGCAGCAAGCTGTAGACACCTTTATTAGTGAGGGGCTGTTGTTGTTCTTGCGATGCCTGTTGTGAGTTGTTTCCGCGTCCCTGTTCGCGATATCAATTACCGTTATAAGTCAATATATTCGAGTAACCACAACCACCTGTTCTACATCCTGTCAATGTAACCTGATGCAGTGAGGATTTATACTAGTGTAAGCTCCAATGAAGACGCGTTGCCCCTCTTACCAGGGTGCTTCTGTAGTAAGCTGATAGCTCCCCACCCGGCCAAGTGGGTATAGCTCCAGCGAGCTGCCCACATTCAACCCCCCCTTTTCGCCCTAGCGAGTGCACAATTTCAGGTCCAACAAGTCCCTCAGTTTTGCTACCAGCGCTTTCGGAACAACTACATAAATCTCATAATTTCTCTGTTTGCTATAAAACAGGGCTCGTTGGTGTAGTTGGTTATCACGTCAGTCTAACAAGGGGTCTTCAAAAGCCACCAGTTAGGACACTGAAGGTCCGGAGTTCAAACCTCCGATGAGTCAAGAGGAGCTACAGTTACTGTAGTGCATTCGCTTTTTTGTTGCGGGGGTGGACAGTGAATAGGCGTGGGTGGATCTGGACCTTTTTTTTGGTAGATTTCGAGTTGGCGAATGAAGACACGCATTTCACTTCAAAATCCCCAAATTAATGCTCAAGGGGGACATATCACGTAGTTTTCGAATTCCAACCATTCAATTTTGAAGGATGTGTTCGTTGGCAGGGGTGGGGACAAAAAGGCGAAACTTCGGCAAAAGAACTTCGAGAGTGCTATGCAGCGAGGCCTGGACAGCACAGCAGTTTATTTTATTTCAAAAGGCAAAGATAGTCGTAGCAGCCTGAAATACATTTAGAGGGATTGACAAAGTCTATTATATGCTCGTAGTAGGCAAGAGTATACTTTGTGATAAGGAAATGAGAAGATCCATGTCTGTAGGATATCCAGCTATCGCATCAACGTAACATGCATATTAGACGATCAGAGGCAGTCTACATGTGATGTTGGGATGCGAGTAAAGCTGTGCCCCTCGATCCCGGCATACATCGGCGTCCTCGCACCACTTTCCAGCAAATTCTCACCGCAGCCCCACCACCGCCCAACCATGCAAACCAGGAAGTCCTTTTCCCACCGCTTCACACATCTAGATAAACCGTGATATTTTCCATCGCCCCATCAATCAGTCAAGCAACTCGCTTACAATCGGTTTTGTAGTGTGCGTAGATCCTCTTCCTCACTTACCAACTTGCCCCCGCTAATAACCATCCAGGTAGCGGTTATCACTCCGGATTCTGATCTCAAAATCAGTGTCTTCCGGCAACCCCGGTTCGATTCCGGGCAAGACCTCTCTTTTTGGATCCGTAGAGGTCGTGGGTAGTGTAGGGAGACGTGGTGGTATGCGTGGTGGGGTGTTGGTGGAGAATGAAGCTTTTTTGGTTTCGGCTATGTCAGACACACAACTTTTTTTTCTTGAACATGGAACATGGCATCTCATACAAGGGAAAAGCTGAACAGGTCTACATTAACATAGGACCCTGCAAAGTAGGTGCCCTAACGTAGATGTAGGCTCCTGACCTGTTCATTTTGTCCCTAGGTTGACGTGCTGGTGTGCACTGGAGATCTAGCGATGCACAGTAAATCATTACATGTAGACTGGTCAAATATCATAGATAGCGGTAATGATTGTAGGATTCTTCACAAACTACCAACTTGGATCATTGCCCCTGAGGCTAACCCCTTCCCATCCCCCACCAAGTAGCGAGTGAATGTCGCCCAGGCTACACCTCCAACCAAGACAAAGTGGATATAAAACGCTCGTGCAAAGGAAAAACAAGCAAGGGAATAAAGGTCGCTCAAAGACCACGAGGTAAAGGTAGCGAGAGGGGTATCAATGGTGCGCAGCAGCGAAAGCCGGCCGAGAGAAGAAACATTACAATAGGCGGTACGAGTGATAAGATGCGCGCGAGCACAACCGCTTTCTAGCCTTGCAGTCAGGCCCCTAGGGTTTGTTGAGCGAGTGGGAGAATACAAAAGGTGGGTCGAAGTAGAGTGACGGTAGGAAAGATGCAGACGAGGTATATGGGCCTCCGCACAATGACGTTGAGTCGTATGGGTCGTTGCCCTAGCAGTGAGAGAATAAGACGGTACAAGCGAAAGATGGAGATAGTCAAAAGACGAAAGGGCGACAGGCGGTGGAAGACATCCGAGCGACCGTAAAGCATGCCCGTCACACGTGAGCGAGTCGTAAGTGCAGTGCGTTGTTTAGAAACCACGGAAAGGA